TTGCTGTGGTTCGGGTTGCCGTCTGTTCATACACAGCGACGCGCTTAAGACTAGAACTGGTGGGTATATGCGCTATACTTACCGACCATCATCTTCTGGTACAGGTCCGTGCCAATCGCGCCTACGTGCTCGCTATCGCTCTGTACTCACAACAGTCGTTATCATTTTGTGGTGGCCGGGTAGAAAGTGCCAAATGCACGCACGTTGGACCATCCACAAGCTCCTACGCCGGCAGATGGGCTGTCTGGATACGTCAAGTATTTTTAGAACGCGACAAGTCAAAGCATCCAACGAAATACCCACAGTGAGTTGCCTACATGTTGCCAGTTAGCTACTCGTGTTATATAGCAGGTGAACATGTACTTACCCATCCTTGGCGAGCAGCAATGGCGAGCGGGTCCTCGGCTTCGACAGGAGCAGCAACAGCAGCACCGGCGAGCCCAAGGGTGAAGCCGGCAATGACAGCGAGCTTAGTGAGTGTGTACATGTTGTATCGATTGGAAAACTGCAGTTGGCAAGTGGAGAGTGTGTAAGAGTCGATGCAGAGCCAACAACTGTTCAGCAAGCATTATATATGCGCACCGATGCCCGCCCTCGCCTTGAGCGCACCAGCGCTCTGCCATAGTCTGTCTATGTTACCTGACCGTACAAGCCGGTGCGCGAGGGCGCTCCGCGACGGTGGAACCGGTCGAAGTCCAAGCGTCGTCCGAATTACTTACGCGACGCCGCCGACTATCGCATAGCATGGCCGGCCGCGAGTAGACAATTGTCCAATAACCGTTTTGGCCGACCAATACATGGTTGTGGCGCGCCGCGATGACCAGCCGGTCGTAGTTCGCTACATGGACACCAAAGCCGGGGGCTGTTCGTGAGCAGGGGCCCGGAGTTCTCGCCATAATAGTAAATAGGATGACGAAGTATGATGTTACCTGCGGATCAAATAACAAGGGTGGCATAGTCTAGTGGTTATGATATCTGCTTTACATTGTGTTCGCAGAGGGTCTCAGGTTCGATCCCTGATGCAGCCATTTTGCTGTCCTCAATTCTGAGTTTGGCTTTGGTATTTGGCGTTCAAACCTCCTAGTTCACACTTTTACCTCGGGAATGAGTGACACATCCATGTCATAATACAAATCTTATACTACACGCAACCAAAAGAACTACATGGTCCAAAATCACAGAACTCGTCCGCTACAACTCCCTCCGCATCGCCCCACCCGTAATCCAGTTCACCCAGCTCGTCCACCACCCGCTCCCGTAGCCAATAGGCCGTAAAAAAGCCCGGTAGGCGACCATGAGTCCTGCTAGTGTTACGGTAAGACCGAGTGCTACCTTTCGTCGTGCGACCGTGGCCGAAGCTCGGTCTGCTCCTCCAGGGATCGCACTTAACCTGAGCCGAGAGTGAGTCTTCAAGTCCTAACATGGGATGATGTTGTATCACGCACGGGTTTATTGCAGTGGAGACAATCTCTGGGAACAAGTTTGCGATTTGAGAGTTCTTGATGCTGACTGCATATGGC